CGCCGCCGGCCACCGGAAAACGCACTCCGATCGGAAAATGGTTGGCATCATCGGATAGATCTCGTCAAGATGAAGTTACCCTTAAAATTTCATGTAAAAATTCTTCCGGGAAGGCCATCAATTTTGCGGTCAAAGTTTCCAGATCTAGTAAAATTTTAGTCAAAATCGAACATTCAAACGAATTTCCCCGACGATCCGGGAGGGCTACGGAAAATCCAAGGGTACCACCGGAATCCTCTCGACGAGAGGAATCTCCAGCTACTGACCTTCGCCGGAAACCGCCGCTCCCGCCACCGCCTCCGCCGCCGGCCGCCGCCGTCGTCCGATCTGAAAAACTCTTACACCATCGCGAAGCTCTCGTTGTGCACATTCTACCCTCAAAATTTCAAGCGAAAATTCTACCGGGAAGGCAGTCGATTTAGAGGTCAAAGTGTCTGGATCTAAAAGAAAATTAGTCAAAATCAGGTCGTATTCTTCAATTTCCCGGTGATATCCGGCGAACCACTTCAATCTGAATGCCCCACCGGAATTAACTCATCAAGGCGCACATGCTGTTGGTCTTATTCGCCGGAGACGGTGACTTTTATCCGGTGGTTTGCCTCCAGCGAAGCTGAGGTCGCTGTTTTCTGTCCAGCTGAGCCGACGATGGATCCGCCCGCCTCGCAGCCCAGAGACGAAGCCCACATTCAGCGGCCTAGAGGAGACCTGATATGGCTTGGCCCAAGGAACACAGCCCAGGAAGATGTGGACGGCCCAGTATCTTCTCGGCCCAACGCGCGAGATCCAACAGAGGGGGAGGAGTGAACACGCGGGCCGCGATTGGCCCGCGAAGCCCGCATTTCACACAGCCCGCAGCCCGTGTCGGCCCACGCCCATTCCAGCTTCAGCCCGCGTCTAGCCCGTATAACAGCCCGCCTCCTCGCAGCTTATCAGCCCGCGAGGGCCCGATTTCGGTCCATGAGCGACCCACACTTCCCAGCCTTTCACCAGCCCATTTATGCGGCCCGTTAGGGACCAGCGCGGCCCATATGTCTTCAGCGCAGCCCGAATCCCTCCAGTGCGGCCCATTTCACGCGTCCAACACCCTCAAGCAGTGTACATGGCCCATTTTGCGCCCAGTCCTCTTCCAGCTCGAGCCCATATGGTCTAACAGCCCTATATTTGCCCAAAATTAATTTGAGACAATTAAAAGCGAACGATAAGATAATTTGGGATATTATTTTCGCAACGGAGGTATGTGACTAGTTTACATTTGGACACTCGAGGATTTTTGAATTGGTGGAAATGAGATAAATTGCTTGATTTAAATTGAACAAATTGGAGACTTGATGATTCAAAATGGTGAGAATTGGAGATATTTGATTGCTCGAGAAATTATTTTTATTTTTTCGTAGAGATATGTGATTTGTTCGAGAAGATATTGTTTGATTTGATCGTG